ATTGAAATCAAGGGTATACCTTGTGTGCAAGGGGAGGACTGCAAAGCCATCTTGCAAAAACTTGGGGACATGATAGGGTGTCCAGTGACCTCTACAGACATTGACGTCGTTCACCGTGTACCCGCAAAGAAGGACAAAAACATACTAGTCAGATTTTGCCTGAGAACAAAGAAAGCTGACTTTATCAGAAAAGCTAGGAAAGCTAGGTTAACTACGGCAGACCTTGACCTCCCACAGACTCCGGCCGTTCCAATCTATATCAATGAATACTTGACGCCTGAAAACAAGCGCCTTCTTGCGCGGGCATTAGCTCTAAAAAAAGAAAAAAAGTGGAAGTTTCTTTGGACTGATGGTTGTCTTATCAAGGCGAGGGAAACGGAGGACAGCCGGGTGTGTCATTGGAAGCACAAGGGACCTGTCCAAAATTTGCTAATGGGGCCTAACCAAGTATGACTTGCCTTGATAATGGGTTACGTGCCTTCCGGAATAAAACATTTAGTGTCAGCTAAAAAACCAAAATTCACAATTTTTCATCAAAATATTCGTTCACTGCAAAACAAAATAGACGATTTCAGCTTGCTACTCGACACTTTCGGAACATCGTTTTCAGTAATAATGTTAACTGAAGCTTGGTTAACGCGCCCATCGGACATGTTTCAGCTTCCTGGCTATCAATCGTTCCTCCGAAATAGTCATGATAAGCGAGGGGGTGGTATCGCACTGTTTCTCAAGCAAAAAATATCTTGGCTGAGGTCATGGTCGAATTTACTGATATAACTCCTGATTATGAGGTGTTAACAGTGCAGAGCCGTAACAACATGTTCTCCGTTATGTACAGACCTCCATCTGGTGATACAACAAGATTTTTTGCATTCCTTGAAAAGCTTTTCAGCTATTCATTAGAAGAGAAAATCAACCTGGTCTTAGGTGGTGACGTCAATATAAACATGCTTTCATCATCCCCGCTACGAAAAGATTTCCACTCACTCATCACAACTTACGGTTTTTAAAACAGGATATCTTCTGCAACACGTGTTACTATCGACGGCGCATCCCTGTTTGATGTATTCATCTCAAACATTAACATCGACTTGTTAGAGGCTGATATTGTGTACACTGACATTAGTGATCACCTAGGTATTATATTACTGGTAAATCGAATGCACTTCATTGCTAGTAAAACTACAAAGCCTGTTCTTATTCAATCTATTACCTCATCAAATCTTGAAGAATTTCGCAAAGTTATTGCCCAAGAGGCATGGCATAGCGTTTACAGATCGAAAGATAGTGACGTTGCATACAATGCTTTTATTCACACTTTTCCAACACTTTACCGTGATCATTTCCCCAAGAAAAAAGTGGCACGGGCATCCGGGGCACGCAAACCTTGGCTAACGCCTGAGCTTCTTCGTATGATTAAACGCAAACATGCCCTGTATGCTCAATTTGTGGAGTCTAGAGATCCAGCCCTCCTAAGCGAATTTTAAAAAAATATCAAAATAGTCTAACAAGTCAGCTTAGGTCTGCAAAGATTGCCTATATTGTAGCAATGTTTAGTGACCTAGTCAATCAAAAAAGTGATGTGGTCTGGCGCAAACTGAATGCTTTGTTAAAGCCTACTTCACTTTCAGTACTTCCTGACGTTTTGAGTCACGATGGCCAAAAACTTTCGGGAAAGGGGATACCGGATGTGTTTAATGAGTTGTTTTCATTAAACCCTCAGTTAAATAATGTTGATGACCTCGATAACTATGCTCAGTTCCTGCCTGTAAACGCGTTTAGTAACACTCTATTTCTTGCCCCAACTACACCACCGGAAATATTTTCTTGCTTCAGTACTATTAGTAACAGCCGCTCCTTGGACGCCGACGGTATCCAGATTCGCCCCATAAAGCATGTGCTTGACATCATATGCCCCGTTCTTACCCATATTAAAATTTCATATTATCTACAGGTGTATTTCCAAAACAAATGCAGACTTCGCGCGTTGTTCTTGTTTACAAGCATGGTACTAAAAAGAACATTAACAATTATCGACCTATTTCAATAATCCCAGTGTTTTCAAAAGCAACGGAAAAATTAATGCATATCAGATTGTTAGCATTTTTTAATCACCACAATTTGCTTTAAGATTTTCAACAAGAGTTCGGGAAGCATCGCTCTACTGAAACAATCCGTTTGACGCATAAAGAAATAATCATAAATGCATTTAGCCCTAAAAAATGGCATTAGGCATATAGGTCAATTTTTCTAAGGCATTTCACCTAATCAATCATTTCATTCTTCTCAGCAAATTAGTAAATTATGGTGTGCGTGGGACAGTGCATGCTCTCTTAAAATCCTACCTTTCAGACAGGACACAATTCGTAGATGCCAACAATGAAATATCTGCAAGGAAGCCGGTCGTTGTAGGTGTGCCACAAGGAAGTATTTTAGGGCCACTTTTATTTTTGATTTATATTAATGGCATTGTACACTGCACAAACAACGCAACATTTGTCTTTTACGCCGATGACACAACAGTTTTTATTACAGGAAGCATGGAAACAGAGATAGAAGAAATGACTAATGAAACACTGTCTGCTATAGATACCTGGGCTTCAGTGAATTTACTAAAACTAAACCCTTCAAAAACACAAGTCATTTACATACGCCTAAAGGAAAAACCTTGATAAATAAGATGAGCTTATTTATGGGCTCTCAGCAGTTAGACGTGGTTGATTCGTTTAGTATTCTCGGTGTGTATTTTTCACGACACTTTACGTGGAATGTACATGTTGATATTCTATACTCTAAGATGTCATCGGCCGTTGGTGTCCTTGCACGCATGCGATCTCTTCTTCCCGCTAAGGTCAAAATTATGATATACAATGCACTGGTATCATCTTTGTTACAGTACTGTAGCTTAGTGTGGTGCACAACCGGTGTGACGAATTTGCGCAAGTTGAACTTACTGCAGAAAAGGGCCGTACGACATATTGCAGCTGAACACTATCTCTTCTCTACAAAACTTCTTTTTCTAAAATATGATATTCTTTCCGTTTTCTTTTTGTACAACTACAGTCTGATGTTATGCTATAAAGAGTTTGTCAAATATTGTACCAATACCACAATACATCTTGCAAAACTTAGCGTAAACACAAGTGTTCGACTCACCAGGCACAAAGAAGTTTGGACTGTACCCACCCCAAGAGCCTTATATGACTAACAATCATTGACCTACAGACTACCTTCTTTGTTAAATTTTTTAAACCGCGAAGATTTCGATCCTTCCTCTAAACAAAACTGTCAGAATAAACACTTTGCCCAACTGATACATTATCTTCAATGATACATCTCTCAGAATTTATGCCCATTCTTTCCTTTTTATTATTGTTTTTCATGTTCATGCCACTTTATGACCATACATTTGAACTACTGTCTTTTAATCTTAGCACTGTTTTCATAAACTTTTGTAATACTTTTTTGTGATGTTATACCTGTATGTTTATTTCATATTTGTTGTACATGATTGACTGCCATTCCTGCTTCTTTGTAAACTTGTGCACGGGGTCAGGACCTCGTCAATCTCTTGAGCTTTTAGTCCTGTACTCCACCTTATCTAAAAGAAATAAAATGATTGATTGATTGAAAGAAAAAATTGTCGTACGTGCTGTAAAGCAGACTCACCCATGCCTATTTATTACCAATGAAGAGAAATACTTACTCTGAGATATGTCAGATACGTGTCGGTCTCTCTTGTGGTTTATTGCAGAGACGTTTATTTTAATCATCTTTATAGAGGCAGCGGTTGGTTAAAACAGCAATGAGAGGAGGAAGCAGTTGATACATGGTTAATTTGAAGGCCAACTCCGGCGATTTTTCGGCCATGTCAAGGTTATGACGTTTCTATGTTCCTGAGATACTCTTGTCACGAGCCCAATAGCTCAAGTACTCAGGAAAGTTGAAAATAATTTTTAATGAGCAAAAATATGCGATACCAAAACCAAAACCCAACCGACTGCCCTGTCGGCGTATGACATACTATTTCGTGAAGCCGGAGGGCGTATACTGGTTCTGCCAGTGTGGAGTATGAAAACTGTGAAAGACAATCTAGCAAAGCACCGGCCAAACACCACAGAGGAAGGAAAAAAGCATTCCCGTGCTATACCCGTGCCAAACACCGCAACCATCATCTTGTGGAAAACACAACAAACGCTGTAGTGGCAAAAGTACGGATGCCATCGGCTGCGTCACTTCCGTTTACGTGCCAAACATGACGTCACACAGACAGTGTTGCCAATATTTCTGGCAAGTGAGGTGAGCTTTTTGATTGATTGATTGATTTATTGATATAAGGGGTTTAACGCCCCAAAACCTTCATATGATTATGAAAGATGCCATAGTGGAGGGCTCCGGAAATTCGGACCACCTAGGGTTTTTTAACGTGCACCCAAATCTGAGTACACGGGCCTACATCATTTCCGCCTCCATCGGAAATGCAGCCACTGCAGCCGGGATTCGATCCCGCGACCTGCAGGTCAGAAGTCGAGTACCTTAGCCACTATATCACCACGGTGGGGCAAGAGCTTTTCGAGGAAATGTTTAAAATCATTTGCAGATGAGCAGTGCATCACTCAAACCTGTGATTTGGCGTTAAGGACTAGAATGGGCAAAGGGACATACCCGGCGAATTTTTTCGAGATTCATTGACCTCGAAAAATTGCCGGTGTTGGCATTTAAAGGATATATTGTGGCCAACAGTTGTCATACGTAAATATAGTCCAGAGCATAGTCTGCTTTTTATCCGCAATAACTACATTCATGACAGTCTTCAAGAGGGCCGTGAAGAGCAGCTCATGTTTGTTTTCAGCACAACAATGGCCATGGCAGTGCATTGGCGGTCAATAATATGAACATATTTTTACACACTGTTATCTCTGTACATAGATTCTTATTTAAAGTAATTTTCATGTCAATGTTCTGAGCTAATATCTCTATCTTTCTGTCTGTCTGTGCAGTAAATTGTGGCTTCCTGCAAGAAGAAAAATCTACTCTCTCTCCTAAGGGCATTGGTGGATTCTTAGAGTACACACCGAACTGCCTTACTGGTGAGTTTGTGTTCTTTTTACAAGGGAGTTTTGTCGCCAAGCTGCAGACCAGTTCTTCTTATATTGGTTTCATCTAAATGCAATACATATAAGCATGACTGGTTAGTCAGGTAGTCACAATACCATTACAGACTACAGCTGCTGTGGAGTTATGATAATATTATTGCGTCGGCTCAAGCCACCGAACTCAGAGTAGCAACATGAGCGACAAGACTGTAAGTCAGCACCAGAGATAATTCAAAATATACATTTGTAGTTTACGGAATAAGAAAGAAAACGCTTCTTCAGATACGAAAAGAGTGATAAAAAACTTTGTTAAAGAAATTTTCTCATATGCAGCGTAACAACAGAATAATGTTATGAGGAGATTGCGGAGGGAACGTCACTGTGGTGTAACTTTATTGTGGGAAACGTTACGAAATGATCCTAAATACCTTTATACAAATGATGCACGCATGCACATACGATGAACATTCACACGTCTATCTATCGCCTTAACCATTCGGCCACGTCGCCGACACCTTTCACACGTCTTACACAACCAGTTCTTTGCAGTTGTGTAACGATACCAACAGCAGAGACTGTATGGTTGTGTTACCAACAGCAAAATCGATAAGCAGGCATGCAGCGCTTGCGCGTGAGATGATGGGAGCCCTGGATAGTGATATGCAGACTAACTTCAGTAGATGGCGCCTAACTACAATTCACATTATCTAAACGTGACACCTTCAACATGGTGGTACATTAGTAATGTTTAGGAAACTAGATAGCCACCACTACAACAACAGTTTATATTTCAACAACATTACTCCTGATATAGTCTCATTGCAAAGCAGTTCCGACAACTGCTATTGCTCTGTGGTAGAATACTTGGTTGCCAGTCACAATGTTTAAGTTCCATTCCTTGTCACACACTGATATTTATTCTTTGCAGTTATTGGGTCAGCGGTACCAATGTCACTTTTTCTTAACGATCTGTCATTTAGGTTAGCAATACCTCTTCTCCCCGTCCCTGGACACAAACTGTTGATACCCTCTAGTGAATACCTTCGTACGGCGGCTCTTGCTCTACGGGTATGTGCCACAGCGTCTGGAAATTGAAAAGGGGGTTTGGAGGCGTACTTGAAGATATTTTCACGCTATTTAATCGATCACCTGCCAGGCATAATTGTCTAATTCTCTTACCCTCCTATACTAATTTGGCTTCACCGCAAGTTAATAAGACGATAATGAGAGCACGCAGACGTAGGAGGATAAATAAACAAATGGGTAGATGCGTTATTAAAAGTATTTAAAGGACCTGCGAAAGGCATTTATTCGCTAATAAATCCATTTATTTTACCTGATGAACACAAGAAAAATATGTTTGTTTAGTAGGTAAAGTGTTGAGGCAGCCAAATCAAGAGGTATTGATATGTACTTGTTTGGATCATATAGGCTCAATTACATGCTTGCATTTTAGCCAGTGAATGCATCTTTGGACCTAACTTAAGTCACTTGAACACCACCGACCAAAACTGCCATTCATTGCGTGCAATGGGATGGCGCCTGATATAAATTTTAAATATATAGTGTGTAGTCAGTAGCTGTGCTGTGACACCATGCTAAAATTTGATCCTTTTACTTTGCAAAACAAGGAAGGTAATAGTTAAAAATTTGATTTTTCAAGCAAGCGCTTCGTGTAATTTTTTGTACAGCACACTGTGCAGGCAAGTTTCTCACGTTCAAGAAACAAGCAAAGTGATAGCCACTTGAACAATTGTGTGCATCATATCAAAGCTCAAATTGTCTATTTAGCTAAGCTTAAGGTCTTTCCCGGTTTTCGCAACAATTCAGCACCAAGTGTTGATCATATCACATCAAAATAATTGCAGACAAACCCTCTAAAACACCACTGTCGATTGTCTCTTAGCAATATGGGTTTTAGGTACATCCAATTCTTATCAAATCAATGTGCAGCTATGAGTATGCGCACATTTTATTTATATATTATTAGTTCTGCAATACTTTATATGTCAGTTTTTTTTCAGTTCATTGAGAACACTAGATAAGGAAAAGCGCGCAAAGTATTTAAAAGAAAAAGTCTAAACGTCATCTTCCTGTCCCAGGCTAAGTGCGTTTAGAGATATATAGCAGAAACGAGACTAGTGAGAAGCAAAGAAAAGAATATCGAAGATGAAATACATGAAGTACTACTAATTCATATTGCAATCACCAATTGGTCAGGGTCAGTAAATAAATAATAATGCAGCTGCATTGAAATAATCAGGTATAAAACTTGATAATGTTTTGCGGATATGAGTAACCTGAAAGAGAATTTCAGTGTCAAGGCAGGATTTCAATTTCATTGCATCCACTTAATGATGACGTGCAGCAATGAAAGTCTACACATGTTTGGTCGTACTTTATTTTTATTTGCAATAAATTGGTTGTCGTAGAGGGAGTGGGCAGAAGATTGGAAAAGCATTCTCTGTGTAGCTATTTTTTTTAATTAGAGCTTTCGACTCAGCCACGCAGGGCTTCATAGAGCAGAACCGGAAGCTTCTGAAGAATAATCTCGTTGCTTCTATAATGTTTTAGGCTTGAACTACATTATACAGATTCTAGGTTTCTTAAGGGCTGTCGCTAGGCTTTAGCTCGATGATCGTAGATTGCGTCAACAAATTATTTCAGAGCTGATAGTTTTGAATACGACCACAAAGTCACAGACGTGACGCAGCTCCGCAAACTCTTAAAGACGCCCAGAAACACTTTTTGTAAACATCGAATTAGTTCACTGGAAAAGCGTATTGCCTCACAAATCGAACGCCGCAAATATTTCAAGAATCTTTACAGTACGAGCCGAGTGACAAAGATTTGTCACACGCTGCAATCACATTCTTTCTTCGCTCGTCCTGACGAAAGAGCTAGCAGCTGGGCAGCGAGAGATTTGAGGGGCAAACAAAAAACGTCACTCACGCCTTGTTACCTTGAGCTATTTTTTTCTTCAAATACGCGGCTTTTTCAGTGCGCCCGCGCGCGCACGCTTGGACAAAAGGCGGCCTCTCAGCATGACCTCTGACCTCTGTAACACTCCATCGTGCCATGTTCAAATTAGCTAATGGCTGATAGATGGGCTTACTGCGATTATTTTCCGTGATTTCTCGGGAGGCGAAAAAACTATTTCAAACACAGTAGTCTTTCTTGGGGACCTTCGACGCAAAAAATTTAGCCTGTCTGTCTGTCTCTCTGTCAGTCTGTCTGTCTGTCTGTCTGTCTGTCTGTCTGTCTGTCTGTCTGTATGTCTGTCTGTCTGTACATTTATCTGCTTGTCCGCCCTGAACGCAACAGCCGATACCCTAAACGTCCAACCCCATGCGCAGTACCCACCAATAGTGCTCAAGATTCAGCGTTCATACTTGTGCAAATGTCAATTAAAAAGTATTATGGCGCATATCTGATGCACCATAACAACACGTCAACATTCTTTATGCAACTCTTTTACCAGAAAAGGCATAAATAGGTAATTCTAAGGACCATAGCGTTTATCACGCTGCACTACCATGCAACGCTTGCACGAAAAGGGAAGTGCTTCCTACACTTTGGCAAGACGATACAGTGGTGGCGCCTACCCGTCGCTTTGCGTTCTTCACCTTATCACTTCCGAGATGGGCACGCACGCCACGCGCTTCGTTTTCCAACACAACTGCCAGATAGTGCTGATGTCTCACGTGTCACGTGATTTGATCCGCTCGTTCGGATCGTTGCACGCTCGAGGTACTCTAACGTAGTGCCTACAGAATATTATTCATCAATTTTCTTGCACAGAACATCAAATAAACTTTTTGCTCACTCTCTCACGGCGCAAGGCTATCGTAATTTGACGACATTTGCAGTGTAAAATGCAGATACGGGGCCAATTTCTTAGCTGACTTTGATAATTTATGGCGAATTCCAGGCCGCGAGCTGTGCTCCGGTACATGGCTCATGTGTTAATGGAAGCATCTACTAGCGATCGGCAGAATGTTCTGACCATGCTCAAAAAGTGTTGCAGGGCCCCTTTCAGAGAGAAACTAGAGCTCAAACCACGCTTTCGCATATGTCATAAATCTACGGAGACGTCATCGCCCAAACAGGCTTTCCGTTTCTTGGTGTTCTTTTCGCAGCTATTGCTGCTTTTCTCCTGCTCCAAAGTTCTTTCCTACGTACCCAGGGTTTTCGGCTTGGCGCAGTCGATGCGCAGCCATTTGTAGGGCTAACTGTTGTTGTTGTTGTTGTTGTTAACCTATTGTTAGTGGCACATACTCACTGTGGGGGATCGGCCAAGAATCGAGAAGTTTTAATACTTACTGTTCAGATTTGGAATGATGGAGGTATAACAGAAAGATTAGCGATAGCCTAGGAAAGTGTGGTGCTTAATGTAATGCATACAAATATTTACATAAACGAATTTATTCTTAGTATAGACCAATATTCTAATTTTATACGTATATAAATATGTGGACATATTAAGATAATGAAACAGGTTAATTAGTCAACCTATTAGTTTCAATAATATAGTCCCGGACGGCCGCGCATACTGTCGCATTAGAGAAACCAGAAATGGAAGCTCCAAAAGGCAAAATGACAGGCAGAGATAAGTCCATACCAATACCACGTAAAGGTATTTTTAATAGGGTTTTTCGTAATGTGTTAAACTGCCTACAGGTCAAAAAGAAATGGTATATTGTTTCCAGTTCATCACAGAATGCGCACAGTGGCGAAGGTGCCTGAGCAGACCTGTGTTTATAGAAACTTAGATTTGGTACCCGGCAACGCAGCCTTGTGATAGCTACTTCTTGTTTTCGAGTGTGGCAAAAGTCTCTTCGCCAGGAATATAAGAAATGGTGGTGTTCTGTAGAGTTTGTTAGTGCTGAACCTTTAAAGACTTGCATAAGCGTACGTCTGCGGAATCGAGCAGCAGTCACATAAGCGAATGATGGACAGAGCGGTAGAATTGGTTAGGTGATTGACGACTTAGC